ATATTTGAGGGCAAATTCTGCCTACAGTCAGCAAAGAATCCCCCTCACTGGTTGATCTTGGGAAAGGTGTCCTGGTTGGGGGATGGGTACAGGACAGGTGGAGGGGGTGGGGGACTGAGCTGTGGCTTCAGGAAGAGCCTGGCACTGCTGAGGGCCACACTCGGCTGCTGACAGGTGAAGGCGGGATGGTGAGGGGCTGAGGGGCCACGATCAAAGTCAGCTGACTCTGAAACCCTGAATGAGAAGGGAAAAAGCAACCTCCCCCTCAAAATAAACCAGGAGCAGAAAGACGGGGTGGGGGTGTGAAGGAAGAACTAGAAGGGTGAAAGGGACAGCTAATGGGAGAAAGGAGCCGTGGGGGGCAGGACTGAGCACCCCCGTGGGCGTTTCGGCAGTGTCCTCCTTGGCCTGAGGAAGGTCCTGCTCTGAGAGGAACTCTCTAACGCGGAATTTGCCTCCTGTCACCTGTTTCGGGACTATGTTTAGAAAGTATGGGTTTCATATCTGATAGGGCAATTTCAGACCCTGTCGAGCATGTTTTTTCCATCTTTGTCTTTTTTTCACCATTTGGGGTCCATGCTGTGTTATTAAGGACTATTTTAGCCAAATAATGCAGGAATGTCCTCAACTGAATGGGCAAAAGAAATTCTGAAAATGCTTTAAAGCACTCTGAATACTAAAAGATGCCGGAGATGTAAAAATCCCTAAAGACTACCAACAATTACAGCATGTATGAAATGTCGGCAGTGGGACTCTGCTGGTTCTTCAATATAGGAATTTTAGACAAGTAGCTTTTTTTTGTTAAATTGAGAGAAAATAGATTTGCCCAGAGCTATTTGCCCATTTCTACTACAGCGGCCTTGAATGAAAACTTTCCCCTGACCATCAGCAAACTCCCTGCCTGCTCCACTTCTTACTGCATTTGTTCACTTAGTTATTTACTAATTCACTAAATTAAAGACCTGCTATGTGCCAGGCCCTGTGCCAAGAAGCAAGGGAAGACTCGGCTAAGGAAGCAGGGAGTGGGGCGAGGCGCAGACAGACTGGGGGGCACGTAGGTTGGGGGGACATGGTCAGGGAAGGCTTTTTGTAGGTGGGGAGCCTGACCCGATTGTTAGAGGACAACACGGGGTCTTTAGGCAGAGGGAGGAAACATGTATTCCAGATTAGGCAGCATCCCTGAAGTGCCAGGTGGGAAACAGCCTGTTGTTTAGGGTGGCTGGATTGTGAGACTGTTACCAGACCAGAAGGGTCCGGCCGCCTGTCACTGTCAGCCAACATGCACAAAACTTCATCAGAAGGCCAGCAATTCTGGTGAACAGTGAGAGTAGCCTCTCCAAAACGGTTCTGTTCTTCCATTTCCAAAAATACAGTCTTATTCATAGAGGTTCAAAGCAAAGACCACATTAACTCTTACTTTAAATGATAATCAGCATAACTCAGTGACCTATTACAACATTTCCGATTCAAAAGTCAGCTTCCTAAATCAATCTTCCTAACCCATTCATGATGGACATCTTTGGGTTAGAACTAAATTTACCAAACACTATGAATGGGAGACAGGAGGTGAAGGTCGGGCAGGACCTAGACCAGCCAGACCAGCTGTGTCATGGCGGCCCTGGCCTGCCTGACTCCATCTGATTCTCACTACAAGTGCTTTCACTTGGACTGATGAGACCGGTGCAAGGGAGAGGGGGCATGGAGTGCTAAGGAGCAACCAGATTGTCAAGTCCTGGAATGCTGTCTGAGGGGCTGGGCTCACCACACCCAGCGTGGGATGCTAAGCCTAGGAGTAACACAGTCGGATTTACCCCTAAGGGGACGGCTCCCAGCATTGGCTCTGAGTTGTGTGGAGGGAGTGCAGAGTTGTAAGTAATGAAGGTGAGACAACAAAGCAGACAAGCCCTTTGGAACCTGTAACTATTTTAAATATTTTACAAAGACGTTCCCATTTGCTCTTTATCATAATCATAGGAGGTAGGTATCATTATTCCCACTTTACAGATGAGGAAACTGAGGCTCAGAGTGCTTAAGCAACTTCTCCAGAGTCATCCATCTGGCAAGTGGCCCAGCTGGGGTCAAAGTCAGACTGGGTCTCCTACCCCTGTGCTCTTAGCCACTGTCCTCTCCAGAAGAACCCTTGGCTATGGCCCTGCTTTCTCCCCTCTCCCCTTTCCCCTCTTCCCTCTCCCTTTTCCCCTCTCCCCTCTCCCCTCTCTCCTATCCCCTCCACGAAGGTCCCAACCCACTTTGGGAGCTGCCACTGTGCCCCATCTGTTTCTTTCCCCCGCCTCCACAGAGCAGGTTTCAAACAGCCTCTGGTTGGGCACTTGTGAAGCTGCAGGGTGAGCTGGCACACTGGTAAATACCCCGTTTGTGTGTGAGGAGCCTGGTCTGAGGGGTGACTGCACCAGCCATCTCTGTGTGCCATGACTGGAAGCCCGCACAGCATCCAAGAGTCTTTGGGTTTGGTTCCTGCTGCTTGGGAAGTGCTGACTTCACCCGCTGGGCGACTTAGCACCCTGGAGACTTGCTCCTAGCCCTTACACTCACCCTTGCCTCAGGCAAGGAGGAGTCCACCATCCCTGCACTGGAACCAAGGCAGGCAGGGGTGGCTGTGTAGGTCAGCCCTACACTGACACCTGGGGCACCTGTAGGTCACAGAGAAGAGAGGGCCTTGCATGGACCAGCTCAGAGGAGTCGCCTTCCACAGAGCCCACCAAGCATGTTTGTCTGTATGTGTGCCTTTTAAACATTATCTGAATAATGGCTTCTTAACTGTGCTCTCTGAGTCCTAGAGTCCATGAACCGAGTTGGGTGACTTTCTGGCCGGCACCCTTCGAGCTGGGGTCTCCTCGGGTTCTGCCCACCACACCAGCCTGACACCCACCGTTCTCCGTCACCTCCTGCACTTGGTGCAGAAGATTTGGGACAAATAGAAACCCTCCCAGAGCCACACATTCAAACGGTGTCCAAACCACGGGCAGACAACAGGGGACCCCAGCACTCCCTCCCTGTCTCACAGACCACCTTACACAGCTTCCAAGGAGAAACGTGAAATGCAGATTTCACTGTATTTTTTTCTGCCAAAAATATGACTTGGCTGACATTAACCATGTATTTTTTTTTAAAATAATTCTCTTTCAAGAACAAATAAAATAGATGCTACCCAAGACTAATTTCTTTAACAGAACGCTTTTCAAAGTCATTGAAAAGCTGTTTCTTCAACAGCAACAAAATCATAAAATGCTTCCTTCTTGCCGCTCTTCCCTTAACTTTGGGCCTCCCGCTTCTCCCCTGCATGGCATGTAGACACCTTGCTTTTTGCTGGTGAGCTATTAGAGTGGGAGGGAGTTGTTTAATTCACTCATTTGATTACTCCTGGGCAACTTGGAGGGTTGCAGGAGAGGATGTGAAAGCGTGCTGGCCTCCTTGTGCCACAAAGCGGTCACACTGCTACGGGCCTTGAGATCCCTTTCTTAGCCATCATGGGCTGTGGCGTTCTGGCCCCAGTCCTGCCTTCCCTGTCTCCCATGGTCACCTCCTCATCTGGGGGGTGTCCAGCACCTACTGGTACAGAACCTCACGGGCCTTACACAGCACATCACACCCCAGCCTGGGCCTGGGGCACAAGCTTTCTGCAGAGAAATGTGCCCCAGACTGAGCAGGAAGGGCCACCCCAGGAGGAAGCCCAGGGGCCCAACCCCACACCGACTAGGGGAGTAAGCAGCCGAGCCTGGCGCCCCGGATGATAGAGGAGTGAGGCCTCTGGGGCCTGCCTGGCTGCTCGGAAATGCTGACTTAGCGTCCTAGGACAAGTTACTTAACCTTTCTGTACTTTATTTTCTCATCTTCAAAACAGGAATCATAAATGTACCTACCTTCTAGGGTTGTTATGAGGCTGACATGGGTGTTCAGTGAGATGGTCCTCAGAGCCTGGCACAGCATAACAACTAATAATAACTACCAGCTGCTGTCATCCCCATCTCACCATTATAGGCTGAATTGTGCCCCCTCAAGAGACGCTGACGTCCTAACCACCCCCAGCCCATACTCGTTTATGTGGAAACAGGGTCTTTGCAGATGGAGTAGTCAGTGTGGACCGTAGTCCAATGTAATTGTGTCCATACATCTGAGAAGGGGGAATTGGGGACACAGCAACAGACACTGGTAGAAGGAAGACACAGGGAAGCGAGGAGAGGGGCCTGGAGCAGAGACACCTCGCAGCCCTCGGAAGGAAACACCCCTGCCAACACCTTGATCTTGGACTCCAACCCAGAACTGTGAGACAGCAGCTTTCTGTTCAAGCCATCCAGTGTGTGGTACTAGGGCACAAATGTAGTCATCATGATCACCAACAAGGTCCACCTCTTGGGTGAACCTTCTCAGGCTCCCTGGAGGAACAAAGGGCTCCCCAGAAGGGGGAGAAACCCCGATATTGAGGTTGCATTACTACAGTGTAAAGCAGTAGCGATTATTCAATTCAGCCCAAAGCTGGGTTCAGCCTCTCAAATGCACAGTCAGCCATTCTTAGTGCCCTGGTGGGTAAAGGTTCACTAGACACAGGCCAGCTGTCCTCAGACCATCCTCCCAGCCCGGGCACCCTCCTCCCTCCCCCCACAGGGATCCTCAGACCATCCTCCCAGCCCGGGCACCCTCCTTCCACCTGGGACACTCCCATCAGGGGACTTTCAACTGCCTGTCTCTCTTTTCATGATTCTCCATTCTGCGCCCCCCCCCCATACCTTTTATTTGTCCTCAACCAATAACCTGGGATTGGCTTCCCTAATTGCCTGTGCTGTGTTTGCCCCTCCTGTTTAGGTAATTGTGCTGTCCACACGACTCCTGAGGCCACTTAACATTCCTGAGCTGTTGTTTGCAACTGACCGACTGCATCCAGACCTTGGCATCTGAGCGTCTGCTAAGAAGATGAGGACTCCCCAAACTGAAATACCTAGACTCTGTCACCATTCCAGATACGCCTCCAAACCCAGCATCCCTGGCACTAATTCTGCCCAAAGGGTCCTGATCACCACACAGGCAGGTACTCCACTTCCATTGCTGCAGTTCTTTAAAAAAAAAAAAAAAAGAAAAGAAAACTGTTTTTTTCATTTTCCTGAGGGTGTCGAGCTGTCTTTCACCTGCCCCAATTAGTGATGATTTCCATTTATCCTTAACCCCTCTATGTGTGATCTTCTTATTCTAAATAAAAGCCTGTTGGCAGGTGTTGGTAGATTATAAGTCTTCTGATTGGAAGTTGCTCCAGGAGTTAGACATCCTTGGAATTATGAGAGTGAAAAAAGTTTGATGTTCCTGAAGATTATATAACTGAGGAGGGAGCATTGCAAATAGGGCTGAGGCTTTGTTTCTCTCTTCTTCTGCGACATTTCTGAAAAGGCAGGGCAGGGAGGGGAACTGGCCAGAGCAGCCAGTGTCTGTGTTGCATGTCCTGACAGGTGACGTGGAACTGCGTTCTCCCAGCAGGCCTGCCAGGCTGCTCATAATGGTGGTGGGACAGAGGTTGATTGGAGAGCTATTTTTTCCTATAAAAAGTCCTTCCCTCCAAAGAAAGGCCCCAATACAAGAAATCTGGTCCCAGAGTTTAAATTGTGATGGCAACCCCTGTGGACATCATGATTTTGAGTTTCTATTGAAATAGAAAGCTTTCTTCTCTGCAAGTTTAAATTTTCCTTCTGACCATAGCAGAAAAAAATTATGTAAGAACTGGAAGAAACAAATGAACTGCTTAGAACCCACACATTTATAGGTGTATGGTTGCTGGAAATTTCTGGCGTCTCTAAAAGATGTTTATAATAAAAGATAAAACTGAAAAGCAGTTTCTATTGTGGTGTATACAGGGGGAGGAAATACAGTATAAACCAAAACACTCACATGTCTCTGCATTTTAGTTCTCAGCAAAAACACATTTTATTGAATAACTCAGAAATTGGACATTATTCTGAGATATAATCAAAGCAGGGTTTTTGTAGACAGAGGTCTTCTTTTTCTTGCCCAAGTATGTTTTTCATAGCATAGGGGTTCTGTCATGGTGTTGAAATACAGAGCTCAGATACTTTTTTCATTCGACTAATCTTAAAGTCTTAAATTTCAATAAAGAAGAAGATGGCAATAGTCCAAAAGAAATTATAATTAAAGAGGTTACTGTTTTCTAAAATAAAAAAAATTTTTAAGTAATCTGCTGTATCTCAGATCTGTATTCATTCATTCATTCCCAAATATAGAGCGAGCATCTGCCCTGTTTCAGGCACTGTGCTGGGTTCTGGGTCAGTGCAGGGAATGAGACAGACCCGCTCTTGACTCCGTGGCCACAGGAGCAGCAGGTGCCACTCCTGGTGCTCAGGCATTGTGCAAGTATCCACTGAAGGTCAAGTTATAAACCATGTCTATAGGCAAAGGGAACTGCCTGAACCTAGAAAAGCCAAACCACTAACAATTGGCTATCTCTGGAAAGGAGTGTCGAAGGGAAGGGTAAGGAAAGACAGAGTTTCACTCCCAATAGCCTTCTGTCTGGCTTTCGTTTTTTTTTATACCAAACACGTATTTCTTACTACTTTTGTGACTTCAATGGTATATTTACAAGTTCATTTTTTTATTTTATAAAGCATATTCAAAACTTCTAATCTGAAATGGAATAAAAGAGGCAACTGATCGTTCTCATTCAACAGTTATTACATCTTGAAAATGCTCTCAGTGCTGCATTAAATATGGCCTCTGAATGGCAGGGGAGCTGTCACAATGTTGGTTTGTGGGCATGTCCTTCCATCCCTGTGGTGGTGTCTCCTTCCATCCCTGTGGTGGCGTCTCCTTCCACCCCTGTGGTGGCGTCTCCTTCCACCCCTGTGGTGGCATCTCCTTCCATTTCTGTGGTGGCATCTCCTTCCATTTCTGTGGTGGCATCTCCTTCCATCCCTGTGGTGGC